TCAGGCAAATATTGGTCTAATTGTTGTCTAGTTTGATCAAATTGAGAGGTGGTTGTGTGGATTTGATCGGTTTTTTCTGTAGGACAAGGAACATGTGTAGGTTGGTTTTTTTGTTATTTGAAACTGTTAGTTGAAATGGAAATGATAGGGTTTGAGGAAAGCATAGATCAGTAGGATTGGGAGGGACGCGTGTTTGTGATTTTGGTTTCTTTGCACAAAAAGGTTATTTCATGAAACATAAGATTTTTTGATATGAAAACTTTCTCCATTTCCCAATTAAGGAGTTTGTAGCCCTTAATTCCAAAAGGATAGCCTAGAAAGACATATCTCCTAGCTCTAGAATCAAATTTGTGTCTGTCATTTGTGAGAGTTGTGGCAAAAGCAAGACATCTGAACACCTTGAGATGAGAATATGTAGGTTTGGTGTGAAATTAGATTTCAAAGGGGCTTTTGTCATTTAGAAGTATTGAAAGGTTCTGCTAATTAAGTAAAAAGCAGTCAAAACACAATCACTCTAGTATTTTAATGAAGTACCACTTTAAAATATTTTGATTTGGATGGTGTTAATCAAGTTGATGCTTCCTCTTAACAATGGCATTTTGTTGAGGGGTTTCAACACATGTTTTCTGATGAATAATGCCATTTTCAAGATAAAATTGGTCAATGTTGAATTCTCCCCCATTGTTACTCGGGTGACTTTGATTTTAGTTTGAAATTGAGTTTCTATTAACTTAAAGAAACTTTGTAAAGCATTCGTGGCTTCAAATTTCAATTTAAGCATGTATATCCAAGTACATCTACTATAGTTAGAAAATAACGAGATCCATCATAACTAGTTTCATTGCAAGGTCCCCAAATATCACAATGTATTACATCAAACACTAGTTCTGATTTGCATTGACTAACAGGGAATGGGGGAGTTTCACAATGTATTACATCAAACACTAGGTATTGTAACTAGTTCTAATTTGCTAAGGGACATATAGAACAGGGTGTGTTATGAAAAGCTAACTTAGGTATTGTAACTTCAAAAGCAAGGACAGAAAGGGATGGATGTCTAATTCTATATTGCCAAAGGTTGAACTCCTCAGTATGATTGACAACAGAGGCTAAAATAGAATCAAACAAGTCAAACTTTCTTGGAGAGACTGTTAATGGCAGGATATGATAAAGACCAGACTTGACTTCACCAATTCCAGTCATTGTCCAAGTCGAAGGGTCTTGTATAAAGAAAAAAAATTAGGAAGAAAACAACACAGTAGTTTAGTACTTGAGTGAGTTTTCTAACAGATACAAGGTTAAAAGAAAAGGAACACAAAACACATCCTGGAGAATTAATGTTTCTGTGACATGAATGGTGCCAACATGGGTTCCTGGGACAACAGCTCCATTTGGTAAAGTTATTGAGTATCTAGCTTGAGATTTGACAGAGGAAAAATATGATGGGCTACAGATCATATGGTCTTTCGCCCTTGTATTTAGAATCCAAAGCACAGTAGAATTATTTGTATATGTAGTGTTAAGAGTAGATGAGCAAAAGGATATACTGGAAATTTTTGGAAGAGCATTGTCAGAAACCTAAGCAACAATGCTTTAAACCTGGTTTGCTGAAGGACTTAAATTAGGATTGGTTGATGAGTTGAGAATGGCCATGAAATGAGAGTACTACTCTTGGGTGAGAGATACATTGGTCTTGTCAGTCTGCTGTTCCTAATTCATAGGCACAAGAATGGAAGCCGGGTTTGCTATTGGTGTGTATCAATTCTTGCCTTCAAGTTTGTGACCTGGTGGGTACCCATGCAGCTTGAAACATTTACCTGCAGTGTGACCTGGCATTTTACAGGAGGAGTATATAGGCTTGTTGGGATCTTTGAGGCATCTTTCAAGGGAGTGGCCTGCAATTTTATAGAAGGTGCAATAATAGCTATCTTTTCTTTGTGATGAAGAGTTCTGCTTCCCATTGTCCTTAAAATTAACGCCATTGTCTTACTGATAGAACCATCCTTTGAGACCTGTCTTCTTTTCTCTTGTTGAATTATAGCATAAACTTCATTCAAGGAAGGAAAGGGTTTGTTCAAAAAAACTTGAGCTATAATGGCTTTGTAAAATTCATCCAATCCCATTAAAAATTTCATCACCCAATCACGATTCTGATGTTCAACTACTACTTTCAGACCTCCACAGAAACAATTAGGGATGGACTCATAGTTTAACAATTCATCAAGAAGCTTTTTTAACTTAGGAAATTATACTGCATCCCGAGTGAGATGCCAGATCATTTTTCAACTGGTTAGCTTCTGCTTCATCTTTCAACAGGATTTGTTAAAAAGAGCGTCCAGGTGTGAAGTTTGGATTTGCCACCTATCTACGCTTTATGTTATTTTACACCTAAGCAGCTTGGCCTTTTGGCCTACCACTTTTTACACTCATTAGAACATTGATTAGGACTAAGATGTGCTATTCCTTAAATATAACTTGACTTTGTCAGCATTTTGGCATTCTTGAATATTATGGCATTTATATTCATATAATGCAAACAAGATAATGAACCTCTCTGCATATCATGTGTGCTTCGGTGGTGTTGTTATATTATATGTGGTTGTGAACACTAAGTTGTTCACCATTTGTACGTTTGAATTTCCCTTTCTATTTTTAATTTTTTTTATTTTTTTTTAAGTTTGAGTTGGGTTATTAAAGACAAACTATTTAGTACAATTAACTTATTAGAATGAAAATTTTAGATAGATGCACACAAGGGCGGTGACAGGGATTTTGCCCAGTGCGGGCGCACTTTTAGATATCGGCTACAGTGATTTTTTTGGTCAAAATTAGTCTACGAACGAAAAGAATTTCATGTGATCTTAGGAAATCCTGGTGCATAAGAAAACATGAGCATGATCTTGATAAATCCTAACGCATAAGAAAACATGAGTTTTTGAACAATTACAACGAGATTTTTTAATAAAAAAAACTATGTGACTTTGATTTAATAATCATATAAAGATGGAGATGAATTCTCAAAAAAGTTTGAAGGTTCGAGATTGGGATAAAATAGGGAAAGATATTTTGTAATTAATTTGGATATCAGCTCTAATTATGGAGACGTGAGGATTTGAATGGAGTGTACTCCCATTAGATCATGTAAAATTTAAAAGGAAATTTTTGGTCTAGTTAGTGCATTGGTTTTTTTTTTAATACAATAATATATTTCTTTACACAGGCATATGTTGAATTTAAATCCCAAATCAAATGGAATTTTATTTAAGGAATAAACTTAACACAAATTTTATCTCAAATGTGTAAAAAAACTCCACACATACACAGCAATCAATTATCAATTATTTCCACTCACTATCTTTCTTACACTTGTGCACTCTCTCGCTTACTTTCACATACACGTGCCCTCCCTCTCGCTCTCTCTCACAATTATCTGCACTCACTATCTTTCACACACTTGTGCACTCTCTCTCTCTCTCTTCCCCTCGCTCCCTCACGTTCATTCACTTACACAGCCAACACGTGTGTGTGTATTTTGCTTGCCCATCAGAATTCTTGCAACCTCCTGGAGATCCAAAGTCTCAATGTGTGTGTGTGTGCAAATCAAGGCCTTAGAATCATACCATAAAAAAACAAAATCCCAAATGAAGAATCAATTGTCCAATTTTTCTCAAAATCCAGTGCAGGCACCTTCATGAGAGCTCCAATTTTTCTGAAAGTTCCGTGTAGGCAGTGGCCTACACTGGACTCCATGTAGCTCCGCCCCTGAATGCACGTACATACTAGAATTGATAAAATGATACATGATGATATACATTGATAAATAAATTGAAGGTGAACCTAAATTAAGTACAACTTAGATGATCAGGCGCTCATTACATCGACTTCGATAAAATATCATTTGCAAAGAGCAATTTGATCTTAGTAGAATATATTATAAAAAGGAAAGGTAGATTAAATGAAAATGCTTTAATGTAGTTTTACAAGATTTCATTTCATTAGACATCTTAGACTTTGCAATAATCAGAGGTAGTCACTGAATATGATTCATGTAGAGTCAACTTCAAATTTAGTATTAGGTTGTTATTACTATACACCCCTTGCATTCTGCTATTATTGTCGACTAGCCAATGGTTGATTTAGATTCATGTGTCACCAGATAAGCGAAAGCAATCACCAGTGACAAGGTCGATAATTATATATATAGTAGCAATGAATATTGAAATATAGTTCTAGATTGAAGGTTTATATAATTGGAGTAGATTGTTGAATGATCCACGCAGTTCATCTCCTAAAGGATCCATGTGTAATTTCTTTTTCTGCGAGTGAAACTGAGATTATCAGTAGCTTTTTGGGGCCTGTTTTCAGCTGTTAACTGGTCAGATAATGACTTAACTCTTCAAAAACCATTACCTTTTGTTGACAGGTTATACCACCTTTTGCACGCAGCACCTTAATTTCTTATGTTAAGATTTTCTTCGATATATTCCTGGATAATTGAGATGCTTTCACACTACTACTTTTAGTGTTACAACCCAATTTTTCTTAGTCAAAAGTCCAGAGTTGAATTTTCAAAGTCAAAGTCACATAGGGACTTAAATTGAATAAATGACATTATTGGGACTTGAATTGACTAAAATATTTTATTGGTGTTTATTTTGCAATTGACAATATATGAGGGTTACATTGGATACAATTGGAAGTTGAAAATTTACTTATACATTTTTGGGAAGTTTAGGATTTAAATGTTAGCTCTTATTAGAGAAGAGGGACTTTTCTTGCAATTTGGAGTTAGTGGGTTTTTAATGTCTTTGACCATCACTTTTTCTCTCATAAATCACACACACACACACACTAGAAGAAAGAAAGAACTGGCAGAGAAGAAGAAAAAGGGAAAGAAAAGAGGGAAGAAAAAGAAGAAGAAAAAGAAGAAAAGGAAGGAAAGGAAAAAGAAAGGAAAGGAAAACATTTTCAATTTGTCTAATTTCTTTAAAAGATATGGTATATTTTATGCTTAAATTTTTAGAGTTTTGATTTTATTTGTTTAATTTTCAGATTTTAAGGAAGGAATATATATGTTTTCAAGTCAATATTTTTGAATTGGAGATGCTATTTACACTAAGGTAAGAAATACCAATTTTGGGCAAAACCCTAGAATTTTCATTTGGGTTTTTGAATGAGTTTAGTTAACGGGAAAATTTGTAAGGATGAAATACTCATTTGAAGGCATGAATTTATGGATCAAGATGGGAAATTAAATTGGTTAAATTATGATTATTAATTTTACTAGTTTGGAAGAAGGAATTATTTTTATGTTTGAAGTGAAAATTATTGTAATGAATTAGCTATTAAGAAATGGACTAGAAAGTGGAATTAGATTGAAGTGATTAAAGGAAATTGGGGAAAATATTATTAAAGTATCGAGAAGTCAAGTTTTAGCATTCGATTACTAGTATTAAGAAATACTTAGTATGGAAGTTGTTAAATTAATTATTTTATATCGTATTTCAGGTGGTAATGTGAAAGTTGGGCAAGGCTGGTAAAATTGAACCAGATTGCTAATTATAGATCTTTGAGTGGAAAATCTACGTTTTCAAAAAGAAGATTTCCTTTTTATTTTAAAGCATGTTAATTACATGAAATACCTTATTTTCGAGAATTAGTAAATGAGCATGATTGTTTTGAAATTATCATTTAAATAATTGATGTGATTATCTTACTCTAGTGCACTAAGGGGCTATGGCCGTGTACTAGAGTCATGTATTTAACTCCTATACATTGAGAGGCTACAGCCGTGTATAAAGGTAACTCTTATCCACTGAGGGGCTACGGCCGTGTGTAAGGGTACCTATTATACACTGAGGGGCTACAGCCGTGTATAAGGATGATTATGTTGTTTTCATCTTGTACACTGAGGGGCTACAGTCGTGTACAGAGTGTTGATCAGATGGTTTATGTGCATATGATTTTATAGCTTTCAGATCATCAGTAGATGATTACATGAAGTATATTTTGATGTGAATTTTAAGTATATAGTGGATTATTAGCTTTCAGCTTACATTTTCCCGTTTAGAGTTCAGCTTATGGATTTCGGATGATGATTTTAGCTTAGTGAGTTTGTCTAATGTTCTCACTCATCTTGTATTAATTATTATCATCTTTCTTTTATATATCAACTTGAGTCTAATTTATGATTTAGTACCAGAATTTTGAGTTTATACGATGTTATGATACAGACATCAAGAATAATGAGTACATTAAGGTAAATGTAGCTCTATGTATGTATGACCAGATTATAGAATTCAGTTATTCAGTTCTAAGAATAAAGTGTTCAGTTTATAGTATTGAGTAACAACAATATTTCATAGATTATTATGGGTACCAAAATTTGTTATACTTTATAGTTATTTATCTCGAATAAAGAACAAAGAATCTTATGATGCAGTCATGTTTTAGTTCTAAAGGTTTTATCAGATTTCAGAATTCTAAAAGTGTTAATAGAGCAAGAATTTTAAGAAAATATGCATAAATGGAAAAAGTTTACTTATTTGCAAATTATCCACTTACTGAGCTATTAGCTCATATTGCTTTTACCCTTTTTCCTTATCAGATAGATAGTAGCTGAGCTGAGCACTACTGGGCCAATTGATCTATCAAGTTGAACTATAAATTGTCAAGCATTGTATGACTCATCTTATCAGGGTAATAGCTCATATTTTGGAATGGATACCTCTTTTGGTTAGAAATTAGTTCCATATTTTGGGCCTGCTATGTTTTGTATATATTATGCATTTTGGGTACTATGGTTTATAAATTGTTGCAAAGGTCAAATTGCCAGTGTTGTATTTGAATAGTTGATTTTCTGTGAGCCACTGTACCCTATTTTAAGCTATATGTATCTGTTTGGGATATTGGATTATATATTTCAGGTGATTTTAGTCTATAATTCAGGAGGAAGATTTTAGTCTATAATTCAGGAGGAACTCTGCCAAAATTTTTACAAAGCATATCATAGTCAATACAAGTCAATGTTGCCTTGATGGTAGGTCCGGCACTTAACTGGTATCTACCATCTGCGCACGACACGTGTCGGGTTTATTAGGATGATTCGGGATGGGTCGTGTCATTTAGATAGCTCAAAGATGAATATAAATCATACTCCAATTAAATTGAGAAGTACTAACTCTATTAACCACATGGAACAGCTGGGAAAAGTGATAATAAGTGCAAGAACTTGGATGCATTCATATATTATACTTGGATGTCAGAAAACTCTAATTCCTTAGTGCTTTTTTTTTTTTGGGCGGGGGTTGGGGGGGTCGGAAGATATTGAGTGCATTCAAAATATCAAGAAATTCATATAATGGTGAATACGATATTGGATTTATGTTGATTTAAATTGCATTGATATTTGAACTTTCTCATTTACATTATTGGGTAGAATACTTTAGCACCTTTGGCTTTGAGCTTTGAGACATGATTATCCACCATTAATCACTTATATGAGTTGGCTTTGATTACTTGATATTGCACAACTGGAAGGGTTTGTAGCGTGCTTGGGTACGATGCAAAAATAAGTATACTGTCCTTTTTGAGAAGGATAGAGGGGGAAATCTCAGTTCTTTTTTGGCCATCTTACGTGGAACGTATGATGATCTCATGATCTTGGAGGAGGTGAATATTATTTAAGAAATGACAAGTGTTGTTTAAGCATGAAGTAATTATTTATTTTGCTCTATTTGCAGGAAGGACAGAAGAAGTTCATTAATGGCTCAAAGAGAGTGAACTTGTGTCTTTTTTCATATCAATTTCATGCTTGAAGACTTGGCATTTGTTCAGAAGTTGAATAAGTAACCATGTTATTATTTTCGTATGGAAGATATCTTTCATAAATTGCAATACACTCTTTCTAAGCTCTTTCTGAAATCGTGTTCAAACTTAATGGAAGTTCACTCTATCTTGTACAAGATGATCAATTGAATTTTAACATTACCATTCACAGTGTCGTCAGCATAGTTTGAAAATCGAATGTTTGCTGTAGCTCAATAAGAGAACTAAAGGGTGAGTTAAACCGATTGCACTTGAAATTTGAGCCATAGATGAAGATGGAAAAACATCAATACAAGTATCAAAACATCCACTGATAAGCAAGACTTAAGTTCCACCATTAAGGGAACAAGAAACTTCATTAAGTTGATTACCAAAATCTAATAATGTCTGATACAATGCATGGATGTTCTCACATATTTTGCAAGATCATATACGAAATGGCTCGATATAGTCATAAGATTAAGGGTTCGTTTAGCATGATTTTTACTTTTGCTTTTGCTTCCTATAAAAGAACATTTGAAAGAAGTAAAAGCTCTTTGTAGAAGAAACACTTTCATAAATTAGCCAAACGGATTCAAAAACAGAAGCTCATTTTAACTTTTCAAAAACCATGTCAAACAAGCCCTAAATACAAGTTTGACATGTTGATAAGTGCATTTGTACACACTTATTTTGCCCACAAAATATGAAAAAATGTTGATAAAAATATGGCTTAATTCTGTATAATTTAGTTTGTAGGATTATATTGATCGATATAGCGGAATTCAAGAGAAAAGAGAAGAAAAATGACCAAAATGGAAGAAAATGAAAGTTCGAGGACCAAAGTGCAAATAGCTAAAACATGAACCGAGAGTAGAAACGACAATGTCAAAACTTAAGGACAAATTTAGCAAGGACTTGAAGTATTGGAAGACAAAAGAGAAAGAATTTAAAAGAATCAAGAATTGAAATAGGGGATCAAAAAGCAACATTTGGAAGTTTTTATAACTAGGCGACTGCCCAGTTATATAGGGTGGGCGACTGCCCAACATTAAGGACCAATTACCAAGGTGAAAAAGTGAGCTTGGGCGACTGCCCAGGTTATTGTGGTGAAAAAAATTCTGATTTTCTATTTTGACTGAAATTCTTATGGAAACAAATCTTGGGAAGTATTTTAAAATCCTAGGACCATCCCTAAAGGGGGAGGACGAATTATAACACATTCATAAGGATTTTTAGAGGAGAGCATTAGGTAAGAATGTGGATATTGATATCAAGACGCAAGGATTCAATTCAAGACTTAAATTGGTGATATCTTTTCTTTATTATTTATTTTGTTTTCTTCTTCCCATCATGCTACACTAAATTTGTTTGTTCTAGGAGGACAATGAACCATGTGATGTAATCTTTTTAGTTTTAATTTTATATAATTGACAATACAACACATTAATGAATTTGAATGGTTTATATGGAATTATTTTCTTCCATGATTATATGCACATAATTGTGTGAGTGTGATAACTTATTTCATGCGTTTGAAAGAAGGGGAATAAGTTTGATATAAATCATCGTAGGATTCAATAGGAGATATAGATATATCTCTATGCCTTGCGTGAATCTTTTAGTACTCACAAAATCACATGCATTCTTGTATATTAGCACCCGTCATAGAGATATAGACTAGTGGTATATGGGAGTAGGTTTAATATTACTTGAGAGAGACTATTGGATAGATTTATGAGCATTGATTCTTCAAAAATTTAACATGTCGTCAAATTGTGGACTAGGGTTGAAAGTGAGCATTGCTTGGGGATTCGTGATCCTAGTGCGCTTCATATTCATTGAGTACATCAACTTGTATTCAACACATTCATTTTGCATTTTAGTTCATTCAAATCATACATATTTGCATATTTAGTTTAAGTAGGGTTAAATTTAGTTACAACAAATCAAGTTATCAGATAGGTAAAATTTAACTAATTCAATCTCTGTACGATGATATTCGGAACTTTAAATTTCACTTTACTACTTGTTGCGAACCGTATACTTGCAGTGGTTTAAATCAAAATATATTTTCGTGAACAAGTTTTTGACATCGTTGCTGGGGATTGAGCATTAGTTTAATCTTATTTACCTTGACATTATTCGAACATTATTCTTTATATTCTTTGTTCTATTTTATTTTATTTTATTATTCAACTTAATTTCTTTAGTGTCTAAGTGCTACTACTGGTTTTCTCGTAGATTTGCATGTTATGATCGACTGGAAGAGACTTGATTCTAGCTGATCCAGAAATTGAGTGAACTTTTTATCGACTACAAAGAGAAGCTAGAGAAGCATTACAATAACGTATTACTAACGAGCAGAACAATCCTATCATTCCAATTAATGAAAAAGAGGTGATGGACGAAGGCAACATACTTGTAGGAGATTTCATGACTTCTCAAATAGTCCAAAGCCAATCCAGCATCGTGCATCCACCGTTTGGACAGCCTAATTTCCAATTGAAGACCAATGTTATACAACTGTTTCAGAATGAACATCAGTTTTATGGCGAAGCTGACAAAAATTCACATACACAAGGCAACATACTTGTAGAAGATTTCATGACTCCTCAAATAGTCCAAAGTCAATCAGCATTGTGTATCCATCATTTGGGTAGCTTAATTTCTAATTGAAGACCAATGTTATACAATTGTTTCAAAATGGACATCAATTGATGAAAATTCATATACACACATATCTCAATTCTTGGATATGTGTCAACACTTCAGGAATCAAGAAATTTCAGACGATGCTATTAAGCTGAGTTTGTTTCACATACTCTATGGGATAAAGCACTCGAATGACTGGATTCACTTCCAATAGCCAGCATCACTACACGAAACGATCTAACACAGAAGTTTTGCACCAAGTTCTTCCCGCCTACCAAGATAGCAAAGCTACAGCATGACATATCTGTTTTCTGTCAAGGCGACTCAGAGACCTTTGATGAAGCGTGAAATAGGTTTAAAAACATGCTGCGGAAGTGTCGAAATCATGGGATCAGCAAAGGACTCTAGATCCAATATTTCTGCGCGAAATTACTTCTAACCTTCAAAAGTATGGTTGACTCTTCCTCTAATGGGTCACTATCCACAAAATCCATTGATAAGGAACTGAAGCTATTCGAGACAATGGCTACAACTTAATCCATGTGGGCGTCAGAACGAGCTGTTCAAAAGAAGGTTCCATGTGTGTATGAGATGGATGCTTATTTCGCCCTATCTGCAAAAATAGATTCTCTATTCCATAATGTGGAAAGCATATCACAGTCCACGAATGCAATACATGCACGAAAACCAAGTTGTGAAGAATGCGGAGCAAATCACAATACAACATAATGCCCAATTCTGTTACAGAAAATGAAACAAGTAGAGTATGCGCAATTGGGTTAACGTCAACAAAATTATCTAACTTCAGATACTTACAATCTTGGTTGGAAAGAGCATCCTAATCTCTCGTGGGTTCGGTAACCAAAACCAATTTTAAAATCAGCATAGACCTCATGGGCAATTTCAGCAGAAGAAGACATTTCAGTTAGAAGAGATGTTTGCGGAGTTCATGGAAAGAACTGATAAATACATGGAAGCAAATAACCAATTCGTACGGAAAATTGAAACTACTCTCCAAAACTAGGGTGTTGCAATTAAGAATTTGGAGATGCAGATGGAACAGACGGTACTTTCTATGACGAAAAGGGCATCAGATACTTTACCAAGCAATACTGAAGTGATTCCCAGGGAGCATGTTCAAGAAATTACAACAAGAAGTGCAATTCAATTATCAAAAATCAATGTGAAGATATCAAATATAGACAAAGAAACAGTGCCTCCTTTTGATGAGAAACATGAGGAGTAGATTGACCAGATCAGAGAAACAAATACCAAGGAAAGTTCAAATACACCACGGGCAGAAGCAACTGCTCCTGTCAATCCATATGAGCCCCCAATTCCATTCCCTCAGAGATTGAAGAAGTATAAGATAGATCAACAATGAATGAAATTTTTGGAGATCTTCAAGAAAATTCACATAAACATTCCGTTGGCTGAGGCAATTACTCATATACCCAACTATGTCAAATTCTTCAAGGAAATCCTATCCAACAAACGCATGTTAGAGGAGTACGAAATGGTGATGTTGATAGAGGAATGCAGCACTAGAATTTAGAAAAGTTACCTCCAAAGTTAAAAGATCTAGGGATTTTTAATGTACCTTGAACTATAGGGAATTGCTACTTTGATAAACTTTATGAGATTTGGGTGCTAGCATTAACTTAATGCCACTCTTTGTTTCAAAGAAACTAGGATTGGAAGAACCTAGGGCAACTACGATTACTCTACAGCTGGCTGGTTGATTACTCACTTATCCACGCGGAATCATTGAAGATGTTTTAGTGAAGTTGGATAAACTCATATTTCCAGCGGATTTTCTAATTCTAAACATGGAAGAAGACAAAAATGTGTCACTTGTATTGGGTTGACCATTTTTGGCTACTACAAAAGCTCTTATAGATATGCAGCGTGATCAATTAATTCTGAGGCTCGGGGAGGAGCAGGTTTCTTTCAATGTTTTCAAAGTGATGAAATATCCTATTGAATCAGACAGCTGTTTCCAAATTGAGGTGGTTAACAGCATAATTCATGACACTTTTGAGTTGTAGAACCCGTCGGACGTTTATGAGGCCCGTGTTATGCATTTTCAATCCACTCTTACTAACTTGAAGAAAATTGAGATACTGTTGAGTTCAAAAAGGATGATGAGGAGAAGTCTCACTACTTGGAGAAGGACAGGGTTGAAATTTGGAAGATAGCTACAATACGGAACAAGTTCATATTGAGCAAACCAAGGAGGACCTCAAAAACCATATTCAAAGTGCCATGACACACTTGTGCCAAAAGTTGAGCTCTAGACTATAAATCGAGCGCTTAAAGGGAGAAACTATTTCTCTATCTTTTTTTTACTTATTTTGATTACGATTGCATTACAAGTAGAATTTTAGGGATTGCATTAGTATTTAGGGCCATATTTAGGAATTCATGCATGTAGATGATTTTTAACACATTTTAGGTAGTATTTTAACACTTGCATTAGTAACTTAGACAATTTTATCTATTGAGTTCAATTTACTTAGGCTCATCGTTAACATC